CCCCCCCGCCGTCCCCCGCCTCGCCCCCGCGGGCGGGGAGGACGGGGGGGGGCTTCATCGCGCTCCCTTCCCGCCGGGGCGTCCTGCGGCTCCGCGCCCCGCCGGCGGCCGCCCATCCCCGGTCGCCGGGTTGAGGAGGAGGGGGCGGGAACGGACTCGCGGCGCGTCACTTCCGGCGCGCGGGACCGCCCCGGGGCGGCCCCGCGGAGGAGGGAGGACGGGGACGGGGGACGGGGTCGCCCTCGTAGCGCTCCGTTGGGGGGGACGGGGACGAGACGGACGGACGGACGGACGCAGCTCCTGCGCCGGCCGGGCCCGGGGGCGTGAGCTTCTGCCGGGCTCCGGGTGGGCGCGGGGGCAACGCAAGACCGCAGTGAGGGTCGGTGCACGCTGGTTTGGTTTTTTTGGTGTTTTGGGGTTTTTTTTTGACGCGTGGTGCGTCATTTATTTTCCGAGACCCTCGGCTCCAAGGCTGCTGTGCTCGGTCCCAGCGGAGGAGGGAGACGGGAATTCGGCGGTGCTGCCCTCCCTTCTGCCGTCCCAAGCCGCTTCTACTTAAGATGGCCTCGGGGGTTGGGAGCGCCGCAAGAGGTCAAGAGCCACCGCTGCCGGTGCCTGCAGAAAGCGTAACTTGCTTTGGCCCAGGCTGCTGCGGAGGCGCTTCTCACAGCGCCCTTTCTCTTTTGTCTGGCTTCAGGAGTGCTGTCCAGCCCACACCCAGGATGAAGTTTAGAAAAAACAAAACCAAAAAAAAAAAAGAACAGAAAAAACGGCCACGCAACCCCCCGTTGAAGTCTGTGCAAGATGTTCTCACCGTCCTCGAGCGCAGATGAAATGGAAACGGCCAACAAGTTTGGCCTGCAGCGGCTGCCAGGCTGAAGGACGGCGTGCGGCAAAGGGCCTGCTCGAACCCTTCCCTTACGGTGCACGGTCGCCGGGGTGGGTGACTTCACACTTACGTTTTTAGGCAGAAAGCATCCTCCTGGTGCTCGTGCGGCCCCTTTTAGAGCAGCTCACCTCGAGACAAACCTGGGAAAGGATTAGAAAAGGGAAAGGGGGGAGGGGTGTGAAAAGCAACCAAAACAGCAGTTTCTGCGACTTGTTGGTCCAAGATAGACTTGGTACGCACTACAAACAAAATGGGGTTATTACAGTCTTAAGAAGTTATTACACCACCAGAGAGATCATCCCAAAGCATCACCTGGGTGCTCAGTTTCCTTCTGGATTGCTTCATCCATCCCTGGGCTCCACAGCCAGCTTTTAAAGCATGTAAGGATTTTCCTGATGAAAAAAATCCCTGAAACCCAGTACTTGGGGGGGGACGGGACTCCAGGACTGTAGCCTGGGGGACAGGAAAAGGAGGAACCAGTCATGCCTCCTCCCCACCACCCTTGCTCTGCAGACAGTAGAGAAGCAAGTGCTCCGGATCAGCCTGCTGCTGCATGCAGCTACATGGATAGGACTGGATAACTGATCCAACTGGAAAAGACCCTTTTTTGTCAGGTTAATTCTCAAACAGACAGTTTTCCATCCTGGGACACAGTGCAGGTGATGCATAAGGAAGTTTGATCTGTTAACTAACTCTCTGAAATTAGGCATCTAACTGGGATCTCCTTTTAGACCTGCCTCTCCTGAATGTAATTTTAAATGCTAGATGATGTGATAATTGGAAAAGCATAGAAAATTACCAGGCACTTAAAGGCTGAAGCAAATACGAACAGCTCTTCTGTTTTATCATTTTACACATTTTCTGAACTGCCAGCATCAGCAGTTTTGTTGGCACCAATGTCCAACTGAAGGCAAAACAAGTAATCCAGCTACTGAATAAAAGTAAAGCATTAAGTCTTGACATGTGCACCAGGCATCTCGTGTTTGGCCTTCTGGATGCTGGGAAAGGCAGGGACCCTCATTGATGGGGTCAGCCCAACAGAACACACAAATTCTTAAAAACTAGCAGGTGGCTGCTGCACTACTTGTATGGGCTTTTCCAATCTACCTTCACACAATAGAGCGGTTTTGTAGGTGACACAAGTGGGGCAGAACAGGCTGCACCATCAAAATACAGCAAAATTACATTGGTCAAGCATTCCAAGCTGTCTTGATTGCAGAGATTCGTAATTGCTGAAGCTCAACAAAAGGCGTGCAGCCTCCAGGAACCTGCCAGAGAGTGAGTTTGAGCCCTGCGGCGACAGGAAAATTTCACCGCATGATGGAAACTACACAGTAACAAGTACATACAAGCATTGGTGGAGACTGTAAACAAAGGGAGTCGGGAGCAATGCAGACAGCCTTTAAGCAAGGCATGCCTTCTCTCAGCACATGTGGATAGTCTACGCTCTCAGCTATTCCCAACACGATCAAACATGAGACATGCAAAACTGATGCTGTCACTTAGCCAAGGTGTAAAGGATGAAGGAGGGGTAGTTTGTCTCACTTTGCCTTTCAGGTCATGGTCCGAGCAGGGACTCAAGAGCATGGGCACAGCCCAGCAATCCCTTCTCGGCTGTAAGCACAGCATGCATGCCAAGCAGGGAGCATGCCCACATTTAAAGCTGCATTACAGTATGTAACCTGAAAAGCAGCTCAGATTTGACTTGCTGGAACATGGGACCAAATTGCCTGGCTAACAGTTTGCTTAAAGGCACCTTCCTCTGTAACCACTGGGACACAAGTAACACGAAGCTGGACAGTACCATTTGCAGACACACTTCACAGAAGAGGTGCAACACAAAACATCCAGAACAGATTCTTGCCTAGTCATTAAACTGCATGAGAAGTACAACAAAAATTAAATAATCCCTGTATTAAAGAACAGCAAAAATCCTATTTATGCAAAAACTCAATTTGGGAGTGGGGAAGTGACTAGTGATCCCTGTTTTAAACAAGTAAACAAACAAATCCTCTCGCAGAACATGAGAGTGAACAACTGTCACATCAAAGCAAAAATGCTGGCTCTAAAACTGAGAGCTGATCAAGAACTAGTAGCAAGTGGACAGCTGAGTTTGCTCTTGCTTGCTCAGATGTAGCTGCCAGTTAAATCAATACCAGTTACGCCTTCTGAGACTGAAAGGCAGAACTGAACATTACGACTCTGATTCTGCTAAACTTAAACATATGTAAATAGCCTCTGAGTAGCCCCACTGAAATTATTAAAATTCCTCCTGTCGGTCTCAGATCACTGGTAATTATTAACACGGTCAATGTTTCCAAAGCTTATTGTCATTTGTTATTTATCAGTCTCATCAGTAATCTATCATTTTGCAGGTGTAACAGTATTTTGGTCAACTGAACTACAGCCAGACATGAGGTAAGCAGATAACACTAAAAGTTTTATTCCAGTTTCACTTCCACGGAATCTGAACTTGAGGCAGTCGGTATTAGAAGTCAGCAAATATCTTCGGGAGCTTGCTTTTACGTTTTCAAACTATCTGAACTAACGTGAATCAAAATTCATCTTTTTTTCAAGCGGCGCTGCCTTAATGATGTCAATGGGCCACGCTTTCCCATTCCACTGAAAAAGAGGATGAATTTCAATTAATCACCAAGAGGAAAATTAGGCCAATGTACCTGGTCTAGTTTATCTTTTATATGCTTATTACACCATATCGAAGATCATTTGCTAAACTGATTCTACAGCTTGATGACATTTTAATGAACACACTATAGTTGCTTAATTAAACTGTTAGAAACAAAATCAGGGATTCACAAACTATGGCATTTTATTTCAGAGGCCTTTGCTTACATTTGTACAATATATTACATAATTCTCCATTTTCTGCAGAACCTAATATATATTTTATAGCTTTTTTCTATAAGCTTTTCCTTCAATGTTTGTCAACAAATTTTTACAGTCCTGTACAATTCTGAATACTTTGAAACCATTTTCAATAAAATCAGTTAACCTTAAGCACACACTACGAAGACTGAAAATGCTTTTCTTAGAAAAGTCAAATGTAAAGGATTCTGACACTCTAGCATCTACAAACAAAATGCTTTGAATTCTTACATGTTGTATTGCCAGAAAACAAAGAAAAACATGCCAGCCCCTATTTCCCCAGGCAAAAGAAGTACACAGAACTACAATTAAAACAGTAAAACAACCTGTACAATAAAGTACTGTGTATTAACAGTGCCAGGTATTAAATAGCTTGAATGAACACTTCCGCAATATACAAATGTCTTACAAAGGTATATAATTAACAGGAGAGAGCTTGGGATCCATACAACATAAAATCAATACAAGTGAAAACAGTTTGAAGTTGGTTTTGGAATTTGTACAAGGCATTTAAAAAATTAAATGTCTACCACTCAGCTTGCTATTTATTTTAAAAACAACTACCCTTTTGTGGCAGTGTTCATATCAGCGACCACAAATTATAACCTCACACCTTACTCCATCTTGAAGTCCTCTCCTTGAAGCTCGTAATAAAATAAGCATTACAAATGAAATATTTGTTGCTTTAAGGGAAAAGAAACATTTACAAGAAAACACAAAAATATAACTGTTATAATCCATTATGAATAAATATACACTTTAAACTGGCTAAATACAATCTTTATACATTAAGATTTAATACAGTTTGTTAGCCATTTTCTTTCTTTTTCATAATGTATTTTATCAAAATTAAAAAAAAAATACTGTTTTATAGAAAAATGGCAAAGTACAGTAGTTTCATTCCAATTAATGGGTTCTTAAAACCCAGAGTAACCTATTTAAGCCTAATTCAAACCTGTAAACATTAGTCAGTCTTTTTTTTGTTGTTTTTTTTTTTTTAAAGGAATCCTCGTATTTGGTTATCAGGACTGATGTCAAACATCCTACTAACTGCAGGTTTTGAATTGAATACATGTGCTTGACGTATACAATTAAAGCCACTATAAGGTGACTTAGCAGTTAAAAAACAATTAGCTTGTACAAATGAAAATAGGTTCAGTATTTGTCATAAATAAATGGAAAAATATCAAATGTTCCAGCTTTAACAAAATACCAGGGAATACAGTAAGCCTTACCACATTTATTTAGATCAACCCAACAACTATATGCTTATTGTACTGTCTCTACAGGCAGTGAACAGCCTCCATTTGCCACAGTGGAAGGCCTTCGAGTCACTAGACTTACAATTCCCAGACAAGTTGGAAACAATTATTGCTTGAGGAAAAGCAGTTTGTTGTACTTTTTCTTCATAAAAGTGCACTTAAGTGCAAAGTTAGCTTGTCAAGAAACAACTTTAAATACAAAATAGTGCTTGTCTGAATTTTGTGCCACTGTGCAGTATAAAAAAAAAAAACAACACAAAAACAAAAACAAAAAAGAGTGGCCCTCAGCAGCCATTAAGTGCAAAGTGCTTTGGCAAGTCCTGCTGTCACCTGCACTCAACTGACATTCCATTCTGTGATGAACTTGACATAGATGGTTCTGCTAAAGTTAACATAACTGCAGCTGTAATGGAACTAGAGGAAGGTGATGAGGAGGAAGATGATGTAGTAGCAGCACCTGCACAGGAAGAGGAGAACACAGGTTATAAAAATATATAAATTAAGCAATAAAAACATTTCCCATTCAACAACAAGCATTGGTATATACTGACTCCAGCAACCAATGCCCAGTAATTAAAAAGAAAAAAGCCTCCATTCCCTAGTTTTTGTGGGAAATACTGAGAGACAGCTTCGGCCCTGTGCAGGACAGCATGGCATTGCCCCTTGCAGCCCTGGTTCATTGGCCAACCAGATCAAGGGACCAGCCAGAGGACGGCAGAGTTCATTCCTGACCCACAAGCACAGTCAACTGTTCCCTTTCTTTCCTGGGGGAGTCAGCACAGGCAGGGCCTTGTCCCAGCACTGAATCGGCACATACACCCTGCTCCGGCAGGCAAGAAGCAACTGCAGTCACCGTGTGATGGTTGCAGCCACAAAATCTTGCTACACCTGGCATTTCAGTCTTTCTTCTTATACTCAGTGAACTCTTAAATGTGCACATAAACAAGATGGAGAAAATAATCCTTTTAATGCTGCTAGAAGCAGGCACACTAGAACATTCCCTAGAGCATCAGGTAAAGCAGCTTCAGAGAAATAGAGATTTAACTGATGGTCTCCCTTAAACTCATAAAATAAATAACTTATTCTAAGGAGAAAGTACTAACTAGACACACAAGCGGATTATTGTGTAACTTGAAGAAAAGTTCCAAGTTATTAATAACCTTAGATACTTTGTTCACTGCTTAGTTTATTTTTCTGTACATTTTCTCCTGTATAAAGTATTTCTGCCTAAACAGAATTAAACAGATTGCATGCCTTTTTAATGTTTTTCCCCTTACATAGTCACTGGATATCTGAACTGTACCTTCTAGAGGTCATAAAATAACTGTATACAGTGTTTTTAAAAAAGTGAACAAAACCACACTCCTAATAGCACACAACTCCCTAAAAATCATCCAGTTCCTTTTAACCCCTTAATAACATGACATGCAGTTTAGCCCCCTCAAAGCAGAATTTAGTTCCCAGCACTTACTTTCCCGCTCTTTTTTCTTTAAGCGCTTTCTTCTTCGGTCAATGGAAGCCACCTCAGATTTCAAGGACAGGTAATGCTTCCTGATTTCCTGCAATTTTTCTTGGAGAACTGTTATGCGCTCGGCACTAGTCAAATTTTCCAAGTCAGCTGCAAGTTAAACGATCTCTGTTAGTTATTGTATTGCAGCATTTCCAAAACTGTCTGAATTTCAGTGAAGCGGGAAGTACTCAAATCTTAGTGATGTGCTTGGAGGTAGCAGACAGCAAAGCCAAGAAACGCAATAAACAGCAGCTGCTGTTCCTATCACAAACTTTGTCCATTTTTTATTATTTTTTAAAATAAATAGATACACTTTTTTTTTTTAAGGAAGTGGGAGAGGAAGAAAATGCATGCATTCCCCTCTGCATAGGAAGGAAGGGGGAAGAAAAAAAAAAAAAAAAAAAAGACAACTGGTAAAAACATAGGAGTCAAAACTAGTTTTGAGTCCTTCCTAGAGCTCATTTTGACCTAATACACTAAGAAGGTCAGTCTTGCCCAACTTGTCTTGGTTGTTACCAAAGCAGCAGGTTACAAATCTGAATAGTTGTGGGGTGGTTCTAATCGAGTTCACAGCACATGGGCCATAAGGTACAACTATACAGGACCTCCTCGCTGGCATCCCACACAGGGATGTCAATGGACATAGCCGGCACGGGAGCTGCCCCTCGGGCTGTTTCCAGCTGGGAGCTCCCCACAGCATGGCACACAGCTCTGAGGGGGCACAGGCAGGAGGAACAATCTCTGTTCAGTCCCTTTCAACCACAGGTAAGTCACACTGGAGACACTCCATTCAAAGACATTTAAGAATCATTTAAACTACCGTGGGGCGCAGAATGCACCTCAACCTATAATGAAGGTAGCACCAAGGACCAAAAGCCACAACTATATTAGGCTGTGGGAAGATGAGGAAAGCTAAGAAAACTTGCAAGTGTCTTAGACCTCTGCAACAGCAGGAAACATGTTAAATAGCACTCCAAAGTCCAAATCCTGCCAAGCAAATTTAGCACGCGCAATATAGCCAAGGTAGGAAGAAAGAAAGGAGCAAAAGCTCTTTAAATGCATTGCACAGGAAATCTGCCCCATGAATCTCAGTAGGCCGGTGAATCTCAGTAGGCCAGTAAATGACAAACACCTATTACATCACACAGTCCTGAAGAGCAGCAGAATGTAACTTGACTGTGAGGAAGTACTAGGAGAAAAATACTTTTAAAGTAGAGTAACACCGAGATTCAGGGATGGAGAAAAAAAAATGCAGGGTCAGATTCTCTCACTGCAGAAACAGCTGGCTAAGTGGAAAATTCCCTGGGCATGAAAATAACACTGCTGGCAAAATAAAAATAAAATAAAAATAAAATAAAATAAAAATAAAAAAAGAATTCAGCGTACGTGTCTGCACAGCGTGCTATGCCAGCTCTTCCCTGTTCTCACTTTATGTGAGGAACAGCAGCCTTCATGCAGCCTGGGACAGAGCGCAGAAAAACACAGAGCATAATGCTCCGAGAACTTCAGAAACTTGACATACACTAAGGTAATCTGTGAATACTGAATGAGATACTATGGATTACTTTAAGAAGTAATTTAAATCAGTCACACTACACAGTTTCAATTTGACCTTTAAAAGCAAAGAGAAAGCAACTCATGCAATGCTATACACCCATGGTCAGTACTAGGGACAACAATTTGTTGCCGACTATACAATTAAATACCCAGACACTGTAAGAGAGAGGGCTAAAAATAACAAGCTTTTGTTTTTAAATAATTATTTTCAATTGTTTACTTATTGTTGTATTGAGGAAGAAGGCTTCAATCACCTAATATTTTATCTTACTTCTCTTTTCTCCCCACTGCAAATAATGCTGCAACAGCACAAATGCGGAGGCAATTAATAAGTCACATTAATATCAAGGCATTAATAAGCTACTGAACTGTTTTTCAGATAGGCAAATGCATGAGCCTTTCAATACTGCTCACCCCTAGCTATACGTGTACCTGTAGCTGACTGACACAAACACACTGGAAGTTCTTATTACTAGAAATAGTAAACATGTCCTGGTTCACTAAGGCAAAATGGAAGGGGAAAAAGCTACAAATCAAACATGTATCTGAACAATAACTAGAGAATGAATGAGGAGTAAAACAGCAGAAAATGTCAACACAAGAAGCACATATAGTGGGTAACATTCACGCCAGAATGACAAGTCTGCACAGGATGGTAAGAACAAGTCAGCGCAGGAGTCGAATCTAAAAACAGTATTAGAAGAGTGCGATACAGGCAGTTTCCTGCACTGCAAATGCAAAAAAAAAAAACCCCAAAACCACCAACACCAACAAAAAAAACGATTTATTTTTTAAATCGGGATTTATCACAAAATTAAGCAAACTGAGGATGGAATAATTTTAGGGAAAAAAAACAAAACACACAAAATTCAAAAAGCCTTCTTATACTATACTGCAAGACCACACTAGGCGTGTTTTGAAGAAAATACTTACACATTTGAAAACTCCATTTGTAAACTTTGGGTAAACGATTATTCTGTTCTTTGAGATCAGAATCCTTCTCTCCATTTTTCCCGCATTTTCCTGGAGACTGTGTTCTTGCGGGTGATTTGGTTTGGTGAGATTTCATGCCGGTAGAAACCGATTTTGCTGACTGAGACTTGGACACACTTTCACCAGCAGATAGTTCCTCACTGTCACTGCTGTTTGCTGAAGAAACAAGAAGATATACTGTTACAAAACAAAACAACCTTCCTGCCCAAACCAAAGCTTATCAGAAGCTACCCCTATGCTGATTTTCATGTAACAGGAGTTTGTTTGACCAAAATACTTTCAGTCTAAAATGCTATAATCATCCTGGTACATAAGCTTGGCACACAGCTCTTTGCATCACTAGTGCCTAAATACAGGACCACAAAACAGGTATATAATGGGGCCTGTCTAATGCTGGCATGCTGTGAAAGGGAAACCTTGCACTGGAAACACCATCCAGCTAGTTGCTGTGCAGGCAGATTCATAGCTATTATGTGGACCTATGAGAACCAACATCCTACAGAGCTAGAGGGTGGATAAAAGTACCAGACTGTGGCTCTACAATCCACCCTGAATACTGCTAAGTATATTGCTGAAAGTGCGTGCAAGAAGGTAAGGGGGAGGTGTAGGGACACACATCTTGTAAGGAGATTCATGAATACAATCCAATTGTTCGAGGTCTGTATAGGGAAGGTGCACTCTACTCTCTGAATGATTCAGGACAGCATCATACTTGTTACTTTAAAACCATATCCATAAACAAACTGTCTACATTAGAAAATAAGGCAAAGAGGCAGTCCAATGTGTCAATGTAGGTGTAAAAATTATCCACGTATTTCTGCTTATGGGGCTATACTTTTTCTAAAACAGTTAGCAAGACTGATTGTTATGTCCTATCTCCTGTTTATCTTTTTTTAATATTAATTTCCAATACAGCATTCAATATGTACAAACCTCTATCGCATTTTAGAGCTAACACTTTTCACTGTACTCCTAGGACGTGTAGCAGAAATGAGAGTGAACAATTGGCCTTTTTCTTAGCCTTATGTCACCGTTATTTATTTTAGGTTTTTTGTGTTAAAATAACTAGCAATGATCTGAATTTGCATGACATCATCTACAAAAATCCTCAGACACGATGATCAAATTCTTTAATTGCAGAAAAACATCTTCGGCTGACCCAAAACAGAAGAACCTCACCTCACACTGAAAAAAACTTTAACTATAAAGCAACGGACTAAACTGAATGCAGTTTTCTAATCACCCAAAGGAGAGTAAAAAAAATAATCTAGAGACATGATTTATGAATAATGAGTGAAAGAATGAAGCTTGTTTAGTATTACAAAAATAAAACTGAGGTGGAAGCAGGGGCAAGAGATTTTAATTCAACAGAAGTCTAGGGAAGCACTGGAATAAAATGCCATGGGGAGCTGCAGAATCTCCATCATTAGAGTTGTTTTTTAAAACATGTTCAGTAAATATTAATCAAGAGAAACTTAGGCCTCAGTTGTACCTGCCCTAGGTGTTGACAAAATGAACCCCGAAAGTCTCTTTTGGTTCTGGTATTTATGATCTGGTGATCTACACTGGAAAAACTGAACACCAAGTTACACATGGTATGACAGAACTCAGCTGGCTGCAGAGCTGCTGTTGCCTGCTGGCTTAATGCAAAGGCAAGAGTTGGAGCTGCCACAAAAGCAGCTTTAACTGGTAAACCTGAATTTCACAAAAAGAATTTTTTGCTCACAACTGACTCCACATTTTTTCTATTTATTGCCCTTATTACATACAGCAGTGCCTGAAGTCGAACAAAAAGAACGCATACAGACCAAGAACCGTATGTGGTACAAGAAACAATTCTAGCTTTGAAGTCCTTGTATCCTGACGAAGACATAGGTTGAGAAAAAGGGATAAATTCACCAAATCAAAAGGGAACAATGGCAAGGCTAAAAATTGTGTCTAAGTTATGCAAATTCAGTTTGTTTTGTTACTTTAATTCCTGGGTTGAGGGAAGGAATAAGGATTATGCAAGGAGGAGATTAGTGAAATGGAGTGAAAAAGGATGAGAGAATGTGAAAAGGAGATCAATGAACATGAAGGATGGGTGGGGTGAAAGCAAATACCAGACCAGAATGTACAGACTTTTACTAAAAGCTGTTAAAAGAAAGAAAAGGTGGCAGGGAGGAGGAAGAGAGAAGAAAAAAAGGCATAGCACATGCTTTCTATCCTTGCTTTAACTGAATTTTTTAGAGCTATCCTCCTAGCTTCACTTTCTAGCTGACTGTTCCCTGGTATTTTTTATTAACAGTGAGATGAGGCAGTAATTGATCTAGCTGTCTCCTGAACACGTGTGCATATGTCTCTCTAATACACCTCTGCTTTTATGAAACTTCTCTTCCCCAGTACTGTGGTTTGTATTCCAATTAGCTTCTACAACTACAAAAAAAGCTGCAAAAGCTGCCTTATTTACTGAAGATATAACAGATGATACAGGAAGAAAATAGAGCCTATATTCTTGTGGAATTATGCTCATATTTGCTACTGGAAGAGATATAAACCTCCAAAAACTCATGTTGCAGAAAATACAAAGTATAATTTCATCCAGGTCCCAGTCTTTCCTCTAAAACATGCAGCTATCATGCCACAGATTCCTGTCCCGATTCTACCAAGTGTGAAATACTCGCTTTCTTAGTTCTCCCGAGTTACACAATATTAAGGACCTCTTAGAAATAGGCCCAGAAATAACTCAAGAAATTTAAAAACACTTTGGCATTCAGCAAGAGTAGTTTCTTCATTTAAACAGTATTAAGAACTCCCTGATGAGAACATTTTGTCCTAATACATTTTTTATTTCCAGACTTCATCTCCTACAATCGTTCAAACAAATGAGACAGTACCTTCACAGATTCGTTTCACACTGAGCTGCTGTACTTACTAGTTTTACTCTTCTTTTTGTTGTTCACAGATGTTTTGTGGCTTCTTTTCTGCTTTTTTGAGGAGCTTCCTCCTCCCTGAGCATCTTTAAGTCTTTTTTGGCCTGTACAGACTATAATTGGGGAAAGAAAAAAACAAACGAACAAAAAAACCCAAACAAATTAAATAAATACTTGCAGTGCTGTGTGTTTGTCTCAGAAAATACACTTCAGAGCTTAAGTTAATGCAACAATGCAACCGTTCCTGACTATCCTTACTACGCCTCAGCTTTCTACTTATATTGACAAGAGAAGGTGAAGGAGGATGGAAGGCAGACGAAGTTTGTTGGTTAGAGTGCACGTGTAAGATGACTGCAAGTAACCTTCCCGTATGCACCATCAGAATTTCTCTTGAACCACATGGATTTTTAATTTTTTCAATACTATAAATTAGATAAGAATACATTTATTGGAAAAGCTTATCAAGAACTACTGAAAAATGTTCAAAAATCCTGTCACACTTGGAAGCTGCGAGAAAAAAATGAAACTATCACTTGTGATCAGTAATTACATTAATTGAAAGTATAAAAAAAAAATCTTAAATAATGTTAAAAAACAAGGCAACAAAAAAAGGCAACCAAAAAACCAAAGGAAAAAGACTACTGCTATTTGTGACTACAAGAGGAAAAAGTAAAAAAGAAGATAAAAAAAATTCTAGTACAACTGTTAAAAGAACAAATTTTCAGAGTTGTTCAAACATTGTTCCACAGCCACCTTAGACTGAAAATTACTCGTGTAACAAAACCATTTACATTAAGAAACCTAATTTTCTAAAATAGGCAGCGTGCTGACAAAATCAGAGAGGCAGTTAAAGTCTAATGCATGTAAAAGTGATGGTGTGCAATAGTGTAAAACTTTTTTTCATGTGGCAGTAATTTCCTTTTTAATAAAAAAGCAAACAAATTAAGTTCTAAACTTACGCATCTATAATTAACAAAGCAATACAGGCATATTTATTGAGGGCTCTGCCAAACTCTCTCCTTTGTTTAAGGCAACACATTTTGTTGCATTCTTTCAAATGATAATGCAAACAGAATGATAAAGGTAACACACCTTAAGGGCATTTTGAGAAAATTCAGTTAATTATTAACTGAAATCTGTTGAGATGCAGAAACCACTTCTGTCATCTCAGGATTACATTCGGACATGTATTTTTTTTCCTTTGTATTAATAATTTTTTAGGCACTTCAACACAGTGAAAGTAGCTGTACTTTTGATGGAACTGTAAAAGAACCAGTGACTTTCACAAAAAAGCTTTTGGATCCAGCCTTGCAAACAGTTAAAAAGCAGACAGCAGTACACTGACATCACAGGCACAGGTGTTCGCAGTGTTTATTATCCCCTATGCTCTAGTGGTCTCAGAATAGGAACTTCAATCTGCAAAATCACATCTGAAAGTGAAACGTAGCTAATAAAGTCAATGTTTGTTATCAGCTTGACTTGTATTTTTTTAAAACATTAATTTCCTAAGATGCAAGTTTGAAATGGTTGCCTAAGCATGCAATAATTGGCACTTTCTCCCCCCAAATAAACAACTTGGAGAATTAAAATTTTATGTAAGAAACAGTATCTTCTACTTGTAGCAAGGTACTCAAAATGTATCTGTCTTGCTACAATAAATATTCCTTATACAATGTATTACAGTTTGCTCTGGGCTTTTCTTGCCAGGTCAGGTATAAACTTTATTCTTATATACTTTATTCCTCACTGAAACCATCACAATTCCTAATGAAAGGCCAAGAAACTTCCTGGCAGACTGTATTTTATTCACTAGATGATTATACCATTTCCACACATTTGAAGTAGACAGCAGGCTACTACTTCCTTCAATAACTAATTTTCCAGCAGTGTAACCATAACAGAATGAAAATACATCAGCAATGCTAAAATGAGAGCTGGTAAAGTTGAAGACAGCTCTGTTTACCCTTTCCTTTACCTTTTTCAGTATGCTCTGGCTCTGGTTGATTACTACTGCTGGAGCTGACGCTGGCATCAAAACCTGTTGGAGAAATATTTCCTTCAGACTGGAGGTCTTGCAGCTCCCCTGCAACACTGTCCACCTCTATTGTGCTATCTGTTTCACTTTTAATGCTTCGTATCTCTTCTTGATTTGGTGGCAGCCTCTCAGAGACAGTGACACTGGACTGATGTCTACTGGACTCTGTTACGGTTACAGATGAAGGCGATTCAGGAGTTGTAGGAGGAGTATTTAGCACTGAATTACTGCCACTGCTTGGGAATTCAACTTTCTTTTCACCCACTTCAGTCGTTTTCTCCTCAACAGGTTTAACGTCCACGCTAGCTGGCAAAGATTTTTCAAGTTCAGAGCTAGGCAAAGAAATGTCTTCTTCTGCAACAGTCTGAAGCTGCTCCTCTGCTGCAGCATCCTCAGGAGCAGCGTGTGGAGGGGAGGCAGCAGCTTCAGTGTCAGAGTCCGAGAACAGTTCCTTCAGCGTTTTCTTCGGCCATTGTCCCTGAATACTTGACCAGACATCTTTCCGATCCTTTGCTCTGGTGTTCTGAAGTCTTTCATCAGAGTTATTTAGAAGCTTTATTCTTTTCTCTCCCACTTCAGAAAATCCTGAGTAGAAAGTACTTGTCCGTAAAGACTTCCTTTTCTCTTCTAGTCCATTGTACTTTTTAGTTGGAGTGATTTTCAGTTTAGATTTGTCTTCCTCATCTTCATCCGAGGAGCTGTTACTGCTGTTTTCTAAACTAAGGGAGTCTTTGTTTTTGGACTTCTCATCCTTTCTATTAGGCGACACAGTCTTTAAAGATTCCTCTGCAACACAGTGTCTTCGTTTACCACGTTTTACCTGTGGTTTTGCTGTTTTATCCACTACCTCCTTTTTTACATCCTTTCTCTTCTTTGTGGCTTCATCTTCTCCATCGGAGTCAGTATCTCCAGATAACTCTTCCATCTCTTTTCGCAGTCTTTCAGGAGACTTGGATCCCAACTTGGGCACTACTACATCTGTCAGAGCTTTAGTTTCTTCTGGGAGGGATGAACTGCTCTGTTCTTCTTTTAGACAGAGTTCGTTTTTATCTTCGCTTACAGCTTCATGTTGAGATTCCTCTTTGCCATCAGCATGTACATTTGGGGCACTTTGGTCATCTTCCTGCTCACTATCATCAGAACTTTCAGAAGCTAATTAAAAATAATTAAAAAAAAAAAAGGAAAGTTTGTCTTGATTCTGGTTACAAAGAATTCTTAAAAAAAAAACAACTAAAGAAAACTGTACAGATACGATATGAACAAATGCTACAGGGATCTCTAGTAGTATGTATTTTAAATGAAACCTCCTGAAGACTTCAAAAATTTACTTCCTGTTCCATTAGAAGGTATAATGGCTAGACTAGAAACTAGGAAAATTCTGTATTAAACAGTACATCTCCAGGAATTTCTGAAGAGGTGGAGAAAGCATAGAGTGCATCAATCCATAAAATACAAACTTCTGCATAATTAACCAAAGCAGAAATTGAAAGATGTGCTTAACAAAGACTCTGAATATTTCTTATGGGTTACAAATACTACCATTATCTGCCATTTTTCCAAAGCCCAAAACAGAGACAGTATTTTCCCCAGAGAATCCACAGTCTAAAAGGACAGAACAACAACAAAGACACTGGGTAATCTCTAACAAACCAACCTGATGACCAGCCTGGAAAAAGGCAGTGAAAGCAATAATGAAAGGCAGTTGGAGAAATATGTGAACAATAAGAGTGTAGGACAATAGTAAGAAAATTCAGGGTCAGGACTAAAGAAACTGAGAAAGGAAGAACAAAGATATAATGGAGAAGGAATCAACAACAAGCCCATTCAATGGGAAAAGATACGGATACAAGGAAAAACAATGATAATTGGCTCAAATATATGGGTAACACCTTGATTTGTAACATCCATTTTTGTTGGCATAGCTAGTTTAACTCTTCTCATCCTACCTCCCATGTGATTCTCAATTCCTCACTAAAACTCATCACCTTTTAAAAGATGATAACGTAACCAATGACAGAGAAGAAAAGCAATACTGTCAATGAAATTCACGGAAACGATCAAGGTTGAATTAACTTTTTAAAAAAAGGTTTACTAAAATATGACAAACTTAGAGAAGAGCACACTAACACACAGAAGAGGTGTACAGGACAAAATACCTTGAGAAATGTTGCCTCAGGTGTTTCTCTTGGTTTATTTGCTTTAAGATAGGCAGGATCTTAAACGCTACTCTAAGATGCAATCTGAAAGCAAGTTTTACTTGCTTTCTTTCAGTGTTGTTTGCTTTTTTCTAGCTAAACATTTATGGTAAACATTTTTGCCTAAGGTTCCAAGAACTCTATCACTTAAAATGGACTTCTAACACTTGCTTTTCGCATACCTTAGAGGATCAAAACTACACTACTATTATAATATGAGGTATCAAAATTTGCCATTTGAAATAGAAGCCAAGACCACCACATTTAAAAAAATAACCAAAAATAAGGTCCAACAAGTTTTCCTCTCAACCTATTTACTCTGCTGTGCCCTTCAAAGGAAAGTTGAATACAATAGCATTAATCATTCCAGTTTAGGAAAAAAAAAAAACAAAAACCCCTGTAAAAAGTTTTGAGCAAGCAGCTCTAAAATTGGAGGAAAAAGAAATAGTAAAACATTAGAGCCTTTCATATTTAAAAACAAAAACTTGAAGTAACAGAAAAAAAAAGTTAATCCTCCGCATGAATCTGTGGACTTAAATGATAAAAAAATTGCATACAATTAAGAGCATTTCTGAAAATTAATTAGGTAATATGGAAAACATTTAGCTTTCCAAAATATTAGAGGGTGTATGTTGAATTGTGCTTTTGTAATCAGAAGTTAATTACAGATAAATTATAGTGCTAATAATAGTGTCATTATCATCACTGCTAATTGCTTTTTTGTTTCTCATTTCCTAAGGAAATGAAGCTTAATAGATTATGTTGACTGTTATTCTACCTACAAATTTGGAACCCAGTGGCCAATGTCATCCAAGTTTGAATAAGTCTGAAAGATTATTCAATTCATACAACTTTCACAAATATTGGTGGTTAGCCAAACTGCCTATACCATATAGGATTTCTTCTTCTGAAGACATGCACTAAACTAACAATGAAGAGAAGCAACTAGTTATTATAATGCTGCTGTAAATGTGTGGGTAGGGGAAAACAATGTTAGGAACAACACACGAGCTAATAGGAAACCTAGCTTTATTAATTCTGTTTTTCAAGAAAAAAAAAAAAAAGCATGGGTCCTAAAAGTTACATAAATAAAAAATTAAAAATTCAGAAATAACATGGGAAGTAAAAATGCTTTGCTGTGTATCAAACAAAAAAAGGATGGCAAAGCAAAGGACATAATTCTTAAAACCGTTAACGTACATTGAATCCACAACACCTGTTTTCAGAAACTGTGAATATTGCTTTTGTTCAAGGGTTATTTCTGGAGATGGTGTTATAATTAGCCAGACAGACTCAAGTGTACAGTTGCATCAGTTGTTCGACATTGTCATTTACTACTGTTTAAAGGCCATTTACAGAATTAGAAGTTTAAGTACAATACCTTGTAGCCCATTAATGATAGAAGTAATTTCTATTGATTTAACTGGAGCTTGTTCATTATTTTTGGCTTCAGCGCTGTCAAGTTTGGACCCAGTCTCTGGTGACGTGCTCGTGTGAAAAGGTGGTTTTGACAAACGTCGCAATTTACAGTTTTTAGGAGAATACTTCTCTTCCTTCTCTTTGTCAGTTTTATTCTATGTGAAAGAAAAGATTCAAAACTCTTCTCATTTGAGCATACATCTTAACACAGATTACCATTAAGCAATGCTTACAGTTATCTTAAACATTCAACCCAAAAAGGAAAGCTTTCCTCTTTGTTTAAAAGATTACAAATACCTTTCTACGGCCCATGCCAAGACATTTCTACTGAAGACAGGAACTTTGTCAGCACTAAACAAACAGGAAAGCAAACACAGCCAGCACTCTAGGAGCAGTGGCACCACAGGGTGCCAGGCTTGGCAGTGCCAGGGCAGGGCTACAGCACCCTGCTCTGTCACAAAAAGCAGGGAGTTCTAGAACAAAACTCAGGTTCCAGAGGTGCCACAGGGCGGCGGGGGGAGGGGGGGGAGGGGCACTGACATCTGTGACAGAAGGAAAAGCTTCCTTGCATCCCACTGCCCAAGGAATATATCATAACCTAAGCCTAAACATCGGTTTTAGAAGAATGAATTTTGAAAGAAATGCTATGAAATAAAATGATAGTCACATACATATGGACTAGTCATTGGTTTGCTCTCCAGAATCAGCAGAGGGAGCTCCCAAATCTCACCACCCAGAGCTGGGTCCCCCCACTGATGATAAAATGGATCCCTCTCATTTACTTTCAATAAATGCATACATTAATTTAATAAAAAAATATAGGAAAGCAGGAAAGAGAAACTTCCCCTCCCCACCCCAAAGTGGAAAAACAAAACCCTGATGAAAAAAGTTTTAGTTTTGAAAAGGCTAGGAGTTGCTTTTACCGTCAAGCATTTGTAGGCTAATCAAAGGCGGGGGGGGGCGGGGGCCGCACGCAGTACTTAAGAAAGTATTAAACCGGGGGGGGGGCGGAAAGAAGAAAAAGGGAGAGAAACTACCTTTATTTTCTTTCGATGCTTAATTTTTGGTACATTTTTATCAGCTGGTCTCACTATCTTGTCTGCCTTTATCCATTCATCATACCTAAAAGCAAGAAAAAATTGTACACATTTATGGTTTTAAGCAGATAATCATGACATCATAAGAGAAATTAATGGAGGAAAAAGAAAATTATTAGCCATATAAAAACTGAATTGGAATTTGAATAAGTTATTTGTGTACTTTTCAGTATGTGAAGTTTCAGCAGAAGGTTCAATTCTTCATATGCTGGGACATACAGGACGAAGTTATTTTACACTGATGGGTAAGAGTGAAAGCTTCTATTTTTCTAGTCTGCACTGAACAGCAAGAAATCCACATATACAGGTAAAACAAAACTACCAGAATGATAATTCTCTGTGGAACCTCAAGAATACACATACTGTAAAACCTTAACAATAAAATAAATTTACAACTACATAAAATGTGACCCGTTAACAAATATAAACTCTTTCGAGCCTGAGTGTCTGCAAAGTGGTATCTGAAGTGACTAACACTTAGGAGTCACTAACTTTTGAGTCACTAACTTAACACTAACACTTTTCAATTTGTTTTCAGTTAAAGGCTTCCATTTTATATCAGAATGATACTAGACAAAAACATACTAAATAGCACCAAGATATTAACAACAGGTGCCTTATTCTCTAAGGCTGGACCTGTTAAATACAAATCCAAGACCAGAGAAGTACACTATTAGTGAGAATATACTGTAACTAGGGTACTGTACTTGCCAGTTTCATTGTGTATTTCTGAAAAATCTCAAGAATCAATTCAAACAATTTTTTTTTTCTCCCAATAAGGATAATCTGCTGTCCTACTTCAGCTGTGAATTCAAGAACCGTCTGAGTAAGAAACAGGTCAGTTAAAAATTAGTATGTATTAACTTTTGTCTCAAGGTACAGCCACATAAATTCTGATCCCCCTAGGTAAACATGAAAACAGATGGGAAGAAACCAACTTTAAAAAAAAAAAACACCAAACAAAAAAACACAAACAAAACAACAAAAGAAACCAACAAAAAATCCCAAACCACACACACGCAGAGAACTAATACAAGATGGAGCCAAGCACAATGCACTCATGACCATGCTGGCTTTCCAGCTGGGCTCACATGACTACCATTTTTATATATTCAACAACTGCTGATACAGTCCCAATTTAGCTTCTTTGCAACTACTGCCAATTTTATCTACAATATTGACATATAAATTTAAAAGGATTACAGAAAAATATGCAAGCTTCCAACTTGCTTTCCTGTATCCTCCAAGTTAAGATCTATGCAAGGAATTCCAGAAGCTAAATACTGTATTTTATTAACTTAAATTTCACATAATAATACAGTTTTCCAAAACAATTTCTTGGGGTTTTTTCCCCTCCATGTGACAATAAAAATCACAAAATCTAGCAGCAGACCCTGCAGACTACAACATAACAAGATTACCTATACTGCTGCAGATACAAGCTGTAATTGTACTATTATCAGGTAACATGTAGGTGAACAGGCTCAGATTTCTCCCCAGAACTGAAATACAACTCTGCAGAGTAATTTCCAGTATCAAAAAATCCCATATTCTGTGAGACTGTGGGAAACCCTATTTGAAGTAATCTTTCTTCAAGTCAAAGACATGCTTTCTAGAAGGAATATCACTAAGTAGACTGCTAAATGGACTTTGCAACCCACATAAATGTAAGAGTATTTCATTAGGTCTAAATCCATGCAGGAGAACAGCACTAGGACTGGACAAATACAGGGTGAAAAGCGATTATTCTGACAGTGTCCTTTCTGCCTCAACCATGTTGCTATAATACAGAATTTGTATTCTCTCATTCTATGCATTTCCAATAAGAAAACAATCTTCCTCCTATTCAAAGTCTGCGCACTGCACACACTATCCATGACTCAAGGTAATGGCAGTGCCTGTTGGGGCAACAGCTGATAGACTAGAGGGCATACTGAAGCAAAGGAGAGAGGAAGTACAGGATCTTAAGAGAGTATGTGTAGATACCACAAGGTCTTAAATGTTACATATTAGAAGCAGTGGTCACAACTCCTCATCTCAAGGAGCACAAATTGAAAACCTACGCGTGACAGACAGAGTTCCTGGCAGGAGCATATCCTGCTGTACTCCTGACTGCACCTGGAACAGCAGTCAGACCCTGGAAGGAGGCCCAGTGTCACAGAAACCTTGAATATTCTCCAGGGAATCAGATCCCCACGCTTCACACCTTTGCATGGCACAGCTCTTTTCATTACTCACACATCAGACACAGTTATTTTGCCTAAACCTGTGACAACTGGACCCCAGGCTGAAACAGATCCTGCAAAATGGATACATCCCAAGTCACAGCTGACAACCTGACCCTAAATTACATTCTCCTCTACTGCATGACAGAGAAGCACTCTGAAAGCTGTACAGCACACCACGTGCTAAGCTGCATCTGAACAGTGTGTGTGACTTGGACTAGAGCCTTTCTTTATAAGAACTGCACCTTATTAAAATAGGAAAACTTACTTAATCTCTAATCTTGCTTTAGACAGCCTGTTCACAAAACAAAAGAAAACCAAAAACATTATGAAAGAAGGTCTTCAGCTCTCATTACAAGAAGTATGTGCTTCCAGAAGACCTGGTTCGTTTTACTGCAGTGCCGTCTTCCACACTTGCTTACCTCAACTCCCTAAAGCGAGCAGCTGGGTGTGGAGATGAAGGAGGTAAGATGGGGAGATGTTCCTAGAAGAGTTTGCACAGACTTGTTTGAGAACCAAGAGGAGGGATATTATTTACTTATTTTTAAATAAGGTTTCATATGAAAACTTGGAATGCCTTCAGAAGAAACATCCCCTTTGCCTTACCAAAATGAAGACAAAGATGAGCCAGTAAGGAGTGAACCTTTTCTGCCTTACTGGTTAAAATGAAAGCCTGCCAGAAAGGTGGGTTTGAACTGGAAGGAAGGAAAAAAAAGAAAAAGGGAAGAACAAAATGAATAGCTATATAGCAGAAAAAATAACTGGCACTTTGCATAAAAGTATGTACTAATTCTGTTACATCCATATGCACTGATTGCAAGCTAAAATAAACCACAACACATTCTTACAGGTTGCATAGTCGATCCTCCACAGAAGTACTAGCAGGTAAACAAGGAAGAAAGTGTACTTTTCCAGCCTCTAGATTTATACTAGCAAATGTACCACTTTCTCAGGAAGACAAGTGACCTCAAGGAACTAGCAAGCCTTGGCCAATTCACTGAAAAGTTCCAGTATACTGTCTGTAGCTGCTAACAAGGAAGAATCAAGTGTTTTCTCTGGCTGTGATCAAAGAAAGGAGATTTAGTCTTATAACCAAATACTGGAATATTAGATGAGGACTCTGATTTTTTTTATTTTATTTTAGTAATTCTCCTGCCCTTGACATACACTACTCTCAAGAACCTGAAATTTGGCTACAAATGTTCTTTTAATTTCAGTGGTTGACTGTTAAGTACAAAATTTGTATATTATTAATGCTTCAACAAATCAAGACAGAAATTAGCACTTTCACATTCAGATTTCTGAAGGAAAGAAACAAGTGTCGAAAGTAATAAGTCTTAGTTTTAAACACTTGAAACATTCAAGAATAACATATCTTGTGATATTATACCATACAACACACGGAGTTAAAACAACCTAAACTCTTTTTGAATATACACCCTCTGCCTTTAATTACTGGGAACATACTGCAGAAGAAATTAAACTCAAACACTTATACAATGAAATTTTCTTTGCACTGGCAGCTGAAAATTAAAATTATGACAGAAGGAACTGGCACTGCAGGCCCCAGGGAAGTTTTAGTTCCATATAAAGCATACATAATTCAGAACATGACTGGCCTGTTAGAAAAAATAGTTTCTCTCATAGGCTTTTTCTGGCTAACACGTGGTAACATAAACAGTTCTCTCTAACAGGGTAGAGATTTTTACCATTCCCTTTCACTACAAGTCAGGATCCACTGAACACTACAGTTGTTTACCTTTATCAGAGATACATATCACCTGAATCTCAGGAGCCAACAAGATCCTTTAGCATAAAGTAGTGCACCTGTACAATGCTGTTAAGCTATACTCCATTTCTGTATTTTCTATTTTAAAAAAATAAATTCCACAGTGATTAGTGTCACTGGTTCCAGAGAGTTTAAAAAAAAAAATTAACAAAGATGAAACCAAGTCTACCAAATTCCATTCCAAGCACCCCAAAGCATGTGCACGCGTGTGCACGCACACACACACAATTATTCTGAATCCCAGACCGATACTGAAGTTAACTTGTGGTAAGAAATATTAGTAGTTATTTAGGATTCCTGCTCAGACTTATGGATTTGAAGAACAGGCCATTAAATAGCGTACTGACCAAAAGGGGAAACAGGAAAGTCAACCTGAAGAGGCAGGAGAATGACAGAATTAAGAAAATCCTGGATGATTAGAAAATCCTAGTTTGGTACATCCCATGACCTAATGTTACAGTACTTGTCATTGCTAAACACTAAAAGTAAACTACAATGAATAAGGAGAGGAGGGAATTGCTACCTATCCAAGTAAACCAGTGATTTTTCCAAGTTGTGACTGACTAAGAGCCAAATCAAGTTATTACGTCGTATGTGACTTGTTTTCACAATATTAAAATATCAAAAGCATTTAGATGCTGCCTTAAACTCAGGCTTACCCACTCTTACTGTCAAATCCGAAACTTTTAAGTAATTTTACTTGAATTAAAAAAATTAGCCACAGTAGCAGAGTTCACACACAGTCCCATAGCTAAATCTCAATCACTGTCATCTTTTTCAGTGAAGAATCCTACTCTCCCAGCCCCTTTCAGAAGGCTCTTTTGAAACACCAGGTAAGAATATAAATTCAAGTCCTGCTGCCAAAAAGACCAAACGACTCCCCTCACCTCTCAAATGAGTGCAAGTTTACTAAAAATGCTTATCAAATATATCCTAGTCACAGAAATAATGCCTCTGATATCAATCCGCATATTTGTTTAAAAGGCAGAGTTCAAAAAACAGAATCTTGAT